GCCTACAGGCATCCCTTAGCTCAGTCAAGTTGACACATAAAATTAACCATCATAACATGGATATTAAACAACACACTTTTAAATAACCAATGGGTCAAAGAAGAAATCACAAGGGAAATTAGAAAATATCTTGAGAAAAATTAAAATGAAAACACAACATACCCAAACTTATGGGATGAAGCAAAAGCAGTGCTAAGAGAGTTTATATCATTAAATGTTTACATTAAGAAGAAGAAAGATCTCAGATCAACAACCTAACTTTACACCACAGGAACTAGAAAAAGAACTAAGCCCCAAGTCAACAGAAGGAAGCAAATAACAAAGATCAAAGCTGAAATAAATGAAATGGAGACCAGAAAAACAACAGCAAAGACCAAGGAAACTAAGAGTTGTTTTTTTTAACTTCAACAAAAATTGACAAATCATTAGCTAGATTAAGGGAAAAAAAGGAATGACTCAAAAAATGAAAATCAAAAATGAAAGGGGCTGTTACAACAAATACCACAGAAATAAAAAGGATTCTAAATATACTATGAACAATTCCATGCCCACAAATTGTAAAACCTAGAAGAAATGGATAAATTCTAGAAATGGTTAAATCAAAAAGAAAAGTCCAGGACTTGATGGCTTTACTGGAAATTCTACTACACATTAAAAGAAGAATTAACACCAATCCTTCTCAAACTTGTACAAAAATTTGAAAAGGAAACACATCCCAAACTCATTCTATGAAGTCATCATTGCTCTATTACTGACAATACTGATTTCATCTTTGGCCCTCCATCTTGTTCATGTTCACTTGATGACCTCACTTGGGGTGACATATTCCAGACCCCTTGGAGATTAATATACATACCTTAGAAAGCCTGCCAAGGTCAGGATAGCGGGGGAGGCATGTTCTGGCCTCCCATGAATCTGTTAGCAATAACACAGTCTTTCTCTTGCCTGACACACAGGTGGTGCCACTGGATCTAATTAAAGGTTAGCTGTCAATTAGGTGCATGCATCCCTTTGAGGTGCATGTGAACCCTCTGATCTCACTGCACTGTCCTTCTTTGTGTCCCCTTGCTCTAATAAAATCTATGCACTAAGGTCTGGATTTTGTGGAGAATAACTGTGCAGCTGCCATGAATCATCCTCTACCTGATCTCCCCCATCAGTAAGTTATCTTAATAAAACTCTGTGTAAACTGTATAGAGTCACCTCCTTTGTTTTCCTGTCTCAAAGTGCCTTCTCAATTTAGGGATATTTTGATGTCCCTCCCCCACTCTCTTAGCACCCTAAAACCAAAGCCAGACAAAGGCACTAAGGAACAGACCAATATCTCTGATGAACGTTGATACAAAATTCTTAACAAAATACTACTAAACCAAATTCAGCAGCATATTAAAAAGACTATATTCCAGGGCGCCTGGGTGGCTCAGTTGGGTTGGGTGACTGCCTTCGGTTTGGGTCATGATCCCGGAGTCCTGGGATCAAGTCCCATGTCGGGCTCCCAGCTCAGCGGGGAGCCTGCTTCTCCCTCTGACCCTCTCCCCTCTCGTGCTGTTTCTCTCTCTCAAATAAATAAATAAAATCTTTTTTTAAAAAATAAATAAATAAATAAATAAAAATAAAAAAACTATACTCCAAGTAATTTATTTCTGAAATGCAAGGATAGTTCAACCTACAAAAATAAATTGATTTAATACCACATTAACAGAATAAGGGACAGAAACTATATATTTCTCAATTGATACAGAAAAGGCATTTGGCAAAACTCAATACCCATTTATGAAAGAAACTCAATAAACTAAATCTAGAAGGAAACTACCTTGACATAAAAAAGACCCATACTAAAATTATTAAAATCCCACAGCTAACATCATAGTCAATAGTGAAAAACTGAAAGCGTTTCCTCTACAATCATGAACAAGATGAGGATGCCCTCTTCTCTATTTCTTTTCAACACAGTACTGGAAGTCCCAGCCAGAGCAATTGGGAAATAAAATAAATAAAAGGCATCCAAATCAGAAACAGACTCTTAACTACAGAGAAGAAACTGATGATTGCCAGAGGGGAGGTGGGTGGGAGGATGGGTAAAACAGGTGATGGGGATTAAGGAGTGTGCTTGCTGTGATAAGCACTGGGTATTGTATGGAAGTGTTGAATCACTGTATAGTATACCTGAAACTAATATTACACTATATGTTAACTAACTAGAATTTAAATAAAAAGCTAAAAGAATTTTTTAGTGAACAATTTGTAAAGAAAATTTTAAAAATAATTCTGTTTACAAGAGCATCAAGAAAAATAAAAATCTTAGGAATAAACCTAAGGAGGTGAAAGACTTACACACTGAAAAGTAGAAAACACTGCTGAAAGAAAATAAACACAGTACTAAGTGAAAAAGCATCCCTTTTGTGTATGGGTTGTAGGATTTATTTTTAAAATGTCCATACATCCCAAAGGAATCTACAGATTCAATGTAATCCTTATCAAAATCCCAATGACATATTTTACAGAGACAGAAAAACCCATCCTAAAATTCATATGGAATCTCAAGAGACCCTGAAGAATTAAAGTAATTTTAAGAAATAATAAAGCTGAAGGACTCACACTTCATTTCAAAACTTACTACACAAAGCTACAGTAATCAAAACAATATAATACTGGCATAAAAACAGACAGATAGACTGATGCAATAAAATAGCCCAGAAATAAACCCTTACATATATGGTCAAATGATTTTCAACAAGGGTTCTGTGTCCATTCAGTGGGGAGAAGGAAAATCTTTTCAACAAATGGTGCTTGGAAAACTGGATATCCATATTTTAAAAAATGAAGTTGGACCCTTAACTTGTACCATATATGAAAATTAACTCAAAATGTATCAAAGACCTAAATGTAAAACCTAAACCACAAAACTTTTAGGGAAAAAAACAGGGAGAAAGTTTCATGACATTGGATTTGGCAATGGTTACCAAAAGTATAGGCAACAAAAGTAAAAATAAATTGGACTGCATCAAAATTTAAAACTTTTTTTCATCAAAGGACATTATCAATGGAATGAAAAGGCAACCCATGAAATGGGAGAAAATACTTGAAAATCATATATCTGATAAGGGATTAATACCCACAATATATAAAGTACTCCTAAAACTCCACAACAAAAATCAAACAACCTGATTCAAAAATGGGCAAATGGACTTGAATAGATATTTCACCAATGAAGATAAATAAATGGTCAATAAGGACATGAAAAAATGTTCAACATCACTGATAATTATGGAAATGCAAAATCAAAACTATAACAAGTTATCATCTCATACCCATTAGGATGGCTATAATAAAAAAATATATATACCAAAATGACAAGTGTTGGGCGCCTAGGTGGCTCAGTTGGTTAAGCGACTGCCTTCGGCTCAGGTCATGATCCTGGAGTCCCGGGATCGAGTCCCACATTGGGCTCCCTGCTCAGCGGGGAGTCTGCTTCTCCCTCTGACCCTCTTCCCTCTCGTGCTCTCTATCTCTCATTCTCTCTCTCTCAAATAAATAAATAAAATCTTAAAAAAAAAAAAACAAAATGACAAGTGTTGGCAAAGTTGTGGAAAAATTGGAGCACTGTTGGTAGGATTGTAAAATGGTGCAACCACAATGAAAACAACATGGTGGTTCATTAATTAAAAACAGTTGGGGCACCTGGCTGGCTCAGTCGGAGAAGCATGTGACTCTTGATCTGGGGGTTGTGAGTTTGAGCCCCACATTCTGTGCAGAGATTACTTAAATAAAACTTTACATTTAATTAAAGAAATTAATTAAGAAATTAAAAATAGAACTTACATATGACCCAGCAACCCCACTTATAGCTATGTATCTAAAGGAATTATAATCAGGGTATCAAAAAGATATCCGCACACCCATATTCATAACAGAATTATTCACAATAGCCAAAAGCTGGAAGCAATCCAGATTTCCATGGATGGGCAAATGGATAAACAAAATGTGGTATATACATACGGTGGAATATCATTCAGCCTTAAAAAGGAAGGGAATCCTAAAACATGGATAAACCATGAGGACATTATGCAAAGGGAAATATGCCAGTCACATAAATGCAAATACTATATGATACCACTTAAATGAAGTATCCAAAGTAGTCAGATTTATAGAAACAAAAAGCAAAATGGTGGTTACCAGGGCTTAGAGGAAGGGAAAGAAAAATAAGGAGTTGTTTAATGGGTGTACAGTGTCAATTTTACAAGCAGAAAAAAATTTTGGAGATCTATTGCACAATAAGATGAATATACTTACTACTACTGAACTGCACGCTTAGAAAATGGTTAACATGGTAAAAAAAAAAAAATACACACACATAGTGTGGTCCTAAGAGCTTTTAGCCTTTAATAAAGTTTGTTTTTTCAGATATATTTTTCACAACTTCAACATGTTTCACAATTTTTCTAAACAATGCCCTAAGCTGCCAATTTTAAAGTTTGCTCTGTACATCTGTATGACATGGGAACAGCAAACTCTCTATACACATTAAGATGAGTAAATATTGGAAAAGATACATTCCTATAAAAGATACTTTCCTTTTTTGCTTTCAAACTGTGTTCTATATGTGGGATGTAAAATAATTCACTTCTATTTTCCAATATAATAAAGTATTCCAGTAGTTAACAACAACAAAAAATATTTGATTAATAAAATGCTGGTTAAAAACACTATGAATGGGGAACTTATAAATGAATTTTTAAAATGTGAATTTGAAAACATTAATTCATTCAATTATCAAATGTGAACTTGAAAACATTTATTCAGTTATCAAATTCCCCTGGTTGAGCTAAGTGTCAGAAGAAGAGAAGTCATATAGGGAGTAGGACTATAAGTTTTATACTATATAGTTAACAAATTTTTAAAAAGTTTCATTGGGATATGCGGAAGTTTTCCTGTAATCATAAAGGAGCTAGCAGAAATCTTACTGGATTTTGACTCATATGTTGATCATTTTTTAACAGAACTCCTGGGGCCTTTCGACAGAGGAGATATGCTAAATGAAGCTTTTGTTGGCCTATCTTTAGTTCCTCAAGGAGAAGACATATTTACAGATAACCTCCCTCCCTTTTGTTCAATCCATAAACATATTATTCAACAAAGAACACTGAATGTCTCTTCTAATAGGTAAGATATGTTGAATTGAGAAAAGTGCTCCACAGTGTTTAGTATTAAACAATTTAAATATACCCTGTTGAAATCCAAACTAATAGTTAAGCAAGAATATTTCAAAATGTCTGACGAACCATGAGAGATGATGGACTCTGAAAAACAAACTGAGGGTTCTAGAGGGTAGGGGGGTGGGGGGATGGGTTAGCCTGGTGATGGGTATTGAGGAGGGCACGTTTTGCATGGTGCACTGGGTGTTATGAACAAACAATGAATCATGGAACACTGCATCAAAAACTAATGATGTAATATATGGTGATTAACATAACAATAAAAAAATTAAAAAAAAAAAAAAAAGAATATTTCAAAATGTCAAAGAAAAAAATGTGCATTTTCTCATGGCGATGACTTTGCAGTAGTTTGGTCATGCGAGAGCAGGTATGATGGAGGAAGAATTCAATGTAAACAGAATACTGTTAGAATGAATGTTATTCCAGGCCAAGATGAACATGAAATTACTATAACATATCGAATTCTATTTTTATTCTGTTGTTAAATTTTAGAATTGTTAGATTATTAAATTAAAATATTAATTTTTAGTATAGTTAGTATGTTTAGTATATTTAGTTTGTAACTCATATGATCGTACTTATGCAACTTTGCCATTAGTTTCTGAAATCTGATAAATGATAATTTCATAACTATCCAGCTGATTATATGGGTTATTGAGAAAATAAACAGGATAAATGTGAAAAAAAATGAGACAAAATAATATTATTTGTAATGGTAATTACGTTAGTCACCATTTAATTTGCTCTGAAGCAAAGGTCAACAAATGTTTTATGTAAAGCACCAGATATTAGGCTTTGTGGATCATACAGACTCTATCACAACACTCAACTCTGCCATTGTAGTATGAAAGCAGCCACAGACAATACATTAATAAATGAGAGTGGCTGTGTTACAATAAAACTTTATTTACAAAAACAGGCAGTGGGCAGGATTTGGCCCCCATTCTGCAGTTTACACACCTGCTCCTGAGGATCCCAACTTATATACAATAATTGTGAAGAGGCCGTATTTTTTATATATATCATATGAAATATAGGCCATATATTTCATATTATACATATATACACTCATAATATCCTTGAGGAAAATGCCTCAAACTACATAGTTTAATTAATACTAAATAAAGGAGCAGAATTTCCAGGTATGGCAGAGTTTAGAGGTAAGTAAATCTTCTCCCCAGGAAACAATGATAAAACTGGACAAAAATTACCATTTCAGAACTCTGGAAATCAAATAGGAGCAAACAAGAGTTTGATAAGCATTATTCATGAAAAAATGCTGAACTTCTAGTAATAAAGGGGAAATCTGATGTTCTGGGGCTGCTCCCATCCTTCCTTTCTTGACCCCCAAGCTAGTTCAGCCTTGTAGTTCTACTAGGGTAGGACAGCTGTGAAAAACAACAGCTGACTTGATTTGGAGCTTAGAGTGGAAAAACCCTGCCCAGCAGCATTATCAATAAAACAGCAAACTGTCAGTAAAAGTAACAAATTTGATAGGAAATGAACAGGGAAAGCCACAGCTCTACTAGCCTGCTTAAGTCAAGTGACAGAACGGGAGACTAGCCAAAAAATTTTTAACAGGAAGATCTGGAATAAGAATCAGAGAGGTCTAATTAAGCTCTCTACACATTCCTGATGGAGTTGTATGACCTCTTATTTTTTGGCTCCCTTTTATCTTGTGGGGCCCTAAATTTTCCCCTTTTGCTTCTTTCTTCCTTCATACCCAACTGTCAGAAGGTGCCTCTCCCTTTTTGCCTTTTTTCACCCACCCATCTCCCCACCACAGAAGCTGTGCATTTAAAAAACTACCCCTTCACACTGCATGGTGTAGTTCATGCTCTAATCTACAAGAACACCAGGATGTGGAGATCATGCCCTGAGATTTGGCATTTTTTCCATTTTATTTACAATTGTCTGGAAGTTCTCTGTCAAGTCATGCTGAAGGTGGGGCTTTCGTGTAGTTTCTTTTCTTCTTTTATTATGTTCTATATCATTTATAGAGGAAGTACTGGGAAGTGCAAAGGAAGGCAGCCAGTATTGTCTTCAACTATCTGGAAGTCCTACTTCTTTATTTACTGTTTTAAAAATGATTTTACTGGGGTATAATTTACATGCACCATAAAATTTGCCCCCTGTAAGTATACAATTCAATGTTTGCTAAATTTATAAAATTATGCAATTTATAAAATTATGCAACTACCACCAGAGTCGTTTTAGAACATTTCCATTGCCACAAAGTTCCCTTGTGCCAACTTACAGTGCATTCCCACTCCTACCTCCAGCCTGAGCCAGTCACTGGTCACTTTCTGCCTCTACAGGAACTTCATATAAATGAAATCATATAGTCTGGAAACTTCATATAAATGAATTCATACAATATGTTGTCTTTTGTGTCAGGCTTCTTTCACTTAGCATTATGGTTTCTGAGGTTCATACATGTTGTAGCATGTAGTTTATTCCTTTTTCATTTCTGAATAGTATTCCATTGTATGAATATACCACATTTTGTTTATCTACTCACCAGCTGCTGGATATTTTTAATTACTTCCAGATTTGGGCTATTATGAATAATGTTGTTATAAATATTCATATATAAGTCTTCAAGGGGACATGTTTTCATTTCCCATGGGTAGATATCTAGGAGTGGAATTGCTGGATCATATTTTAAGTTTATATTTATCTTGTTAGTTTTTAGAAATTACCAAATTGTTTTTCCAAAGTGACTATAACATTTTAAATACCCATCAGCAATGTAAAAGGGTTCCAGTTTCTCTATATCCTCACCTGTGGTTGGTATTGTCAGTCTTTTTGATTATAATCATTCTACTGGGTATAAAGTAGTATCTCATTATGATTTTAATTTGCATTTCCCTAATGACTAACGATGTTGAGCATTTTTATGTGATTATTAGCCATTAGTATATCTTCTTTGGTGAAATATCTATTCAAAACTTTGTCCATTTTCAAATAAGTTCTCTTATTATTGAATTATAAGACCTCTTTACATATTCTTAATTGTAATCAGATATATGATTTGCAAATATTTTCTCTCAGTCTGTGGCGTGCCCTTTCATTTCCCTAATCGTGTCTTTTGAAGTGCAAAAGTTTCAAATTTTGGTAAAACCCAATGTAGTTATGGTTTCTTTTATTGATTATGCTTTTGTTTTGTATAGAAGAATTTTTTTCTAACTTAAAATCACAAAATTTTCTCTTATGTTTTCTTATGGAAATGTTATAGCTTTAGCTTTTACACTCAAGTCCATTTTGAGTTCATTTTTATATATGATGTGATATAAATTGTTTAAGTTCATTATTTTGTACATGAAAATCCAGTTGCCTTTATACGTTTGTCAAAAATCAGTTGAACATAGGTGTAAAGATTTATTTCTGGATTTGGCATTCTGTTCCATTGGTCTCTATATCTACTTTTACACAAACAAGTGCCAGACTTAGCTATACTGAGGGCTCCATGAACGAGAATCTCCCAAAATACATTCCAATACCACAAAAATAAACAGGAAATAGATGAACAGTTCTATACAGTTACTTCAAAGAAACAGAAAATGAAACCAACACATACCAATTGAGAAAAATTCTCACCCCCCCAAAACAACTATGAAATAGAAGAGAACTACAACACTCCATGCAAAATTAAATATATTCAAACAAGCAGCTGGGTACATGGAAACCCACTCTGAATTAGAAGGACAAAAACTAAGAGGAAGAGCTGGGAGTAGGAAAGGAGGAAGTTCATTGCATTCAAGAAAGAAAAGAAAGAAAAATATCTTAAAAATGAAATATTACAAGGCACCCAAATGGGAATAAATTCAAATTGAAATTTAATAAAAGGCACTGAAAATGGCAGAAAACAAGACAATGAAAAGGAGATAAAGAAAAAAAAAGACAAGGGAGAAAGTAATGGAAAAAGAAATAAGGCAAAGAAGAGCATTTGTACAATTTGATTCATTGGAAACAGAATTAATATTTAAAACTATAATCCAGAGAAATGTTTCAGAAATAAATTTTTTTTAAAGATTTTGGTTTACATATCAAAAGATTATACCAAGATGCACCTGGGTGGTGGCTGTTGAGACTTCAGCTCAGGTCATGATTCCAGGGTCCTGGGATTGAGCCCCACATCAGGCTCCCTGCTCAGCAGGGAGTCTGCTTCTCCCTCTCCCTCCGCTTTCCCTCCCACTCATGCTCTCTCTCTTTCAAATAAATAAAATCTTAAAAAAAAAGATTATATATACCAAGTGCCTGAGAAAAATTATTATAAAAATCAGTTCGAAGACATATCTTAACAAAACTCTTAGATTTCAAAGATTAGTTTTAAAAATCTGCAAAGGCCTCCTGGTAGAAAGATCAAATAACTTGCAAATGCAGAAGAATTAAACAAGCATCACCCTTTTCAAAAATTAAATACAAGGTAAGACAAAAGTAGAGCAGCGATTTTTAAAAACTCAGTGAAAAGAAGTGTAAACTAATGATTTTATAGCTATCCAAGCTCTCTTTCAAGTATCAAGGCTAAAGAAAAATAGTTTTCATGAACCCTTCTTGAGGAACATACTAAAGGAAGAGCTTCATCCAACCATGAGATAACTGGAAAAACTTCAGCAAAAGAACTAATTCCGAACATTTTAATACATATAAATGTAGACAGAAGACCAAAACAAGGGGCGCCTGGGTGGCTCAGTCAATTGAGCTACAGACTTTTGGTTTTGGCTTAGGTCATAACCTCAGGGTCCTGGGATCAAGCCCTGCCATGGGCTCTGCAGTGGGTATGGAGTCTGCTTAAGGATTTTCTCTCTCCCCCTCCCACTACTTACGCATACATCTACACATGCTCTCTCTTTCTCAAACAAATAAATAAATCCTAAAAAAAAAAAAAAAAAAAAGACCAAAACAGGAGAGTGGAGAGATGAATGTGGAAGACTCTTAAATAGA